GTTGGTGAGCAGATGCTGTCTGTGATCTACACTCCTGCTCCTATTTATACCCAGCAGAAGGGCACGTGAATACTGTCCACTTCTGCTTGGTCAGCCGCACTATTGCATTGCTTTAACTCAAATTGGCCTACAATTGCTTTCTGTTCAGTATGAATTACCATTGTGCAGAATGCATACATACTCAGAATCCATACATCACGTACCTGCTGTCCTTTTTTAACATTCTCACTTTCCATTGTGTTCTAGTTCTATGATTATATACAGAATTTCTCTTACTGTTCAGTACAGTCCCCTTTCAAAAACACTGCAGGTTCTTGCAGCCTATCCATTTTAAAGCAGTTTGGAGAGGCTTTGCTACATATTTTGGTAAGCAAGTCTGGTGATCAGAAATGAACACAACAATTTATTAAATGAGAGGAGCACTGCATTTCAAAGCCAGCTTTCTTTGGATTCAAACTTCTGATAACAGAACACAATTTAAGCATTTAAAAAACCAGTCCATTAATACACTTGCACAAAACAGACAATTGCTTTATGGACTTGTGAGCCATCTGAGGAAGAGAGATGGAGTCTGACAGTGGAACAGCCAAGTCATAAACAAAGGTTTTGTTGAAACCTATTAACAAACTTTGTGTCTATAAAAGGAGAAAATTGCTTAATTGTTTGACTTCAATGTTGAATGGATTTAGATAAAGCCTAACAATTCATTAACATGTCACATAACTGAGGTGGGTGAAAAGTATTGACTCTCTGTACTGTAATTATACTCTGAGGTATACTGTGGAAGGAGAATTGACTTTTGACTTAATTGTATGTGATGGGCTCTAGTCATAGCACTGTGTTTTATGACTAGAAAAGAAGGTTTTTCAATTATGTCACGTGAGACCTGGTCATATAGTCTTTTGAGACTTTGCAACATTGTTTTACGTTTTGTCCTTTTTTAGAATAGTTTTGTTCACTTTCTTCTCACAGTGTGAAAGCTGCAAAGCCCAGAAAATATATTTTGGACTGTGAATCTAAAAACTCTTCAAAGTCTTTTAGCTGTTGAAACGTTGTAACACTCTCTGTTAATGTGTGCTTAAAGCTAATATGAGTCTGTATTTGATAAAAGATTCATTTTAATTTAATATTCAGTATGACTGTAGGCATCTGTTGTAACAAACACATAACTTCTGGACCCAGAGATGAAGCTGAACAAGTGAGTTTTATTGCATGCAGGGAACAATTCATTCAGAATTGTTCAAAGTTATAGGTGTAGAGCTCCAGATTATATAGCAAAGTTAAGACGTTTCTGACACAAATTGTTAACATGGAAATGACGGGAGGTCACCTGTGTTTGGACATTCTCAAGACCTTGAACACTTTGAATGGCTGGTCTTACCTTGCCATAGTTAGGGAGTCTCTAGCTCACACTTGAAATCTCTTATTAGTTAACTCCAATCTCTGCCATAGCCCAAAAGTGCTGAAGCATGGAATGTTTTGCACCAAAGAAGTCTTTGTGCAGAAAGAAATCAGTTAACCCCTTTTTTACATCTCGTATCTTTCTTCAAATCCAAGGTAGTGCACTATTTTAAAATTTGAATTTGTCAATTTATTTTAAAAAGAATCAGTGCATGAGGAGGAAGTTCAAACTGTGATGATTTAGCAAGTGGAGTGCCACAGGGACCTGTGTTAGGATCTAATTTATTCTGGTGCAGTCAGCAAAGTACTCAAGTTCACAGATGATCCCTGAAAACGACAAGCAATAAATTCACCTTAAATGCAACAGAGGAAATTCTGAATACAAAATTGACAACAGAATTGTGTGCAACAACTTAGCAGAAGAATGTTAATGCGTTAATGCAGACATGTGCAGACTATAACACGCAGGTGATACAAATTATTTCACAGTAGAGGGACAGATAGAGGAGGCTCTGCTTGTTGCTGAATTACTGAGGTTAACACTGAATTCATATGAGACATTAGGCCCAATCACTAATACAGATGGACTGTAGGAAACTTCAGAAGGCATTACCTCGTGAAGCCAAACAACCAACCGATCACTGATCAATCAGCTTGAAGGATCTCAAATGAGACAGACACTCTGTGTAGCTTTGTTGCAAATTTAATCAATATCTTCAGCATCCAATATGAACTTGTGGTTGAGAAAACTCACTGTAGATCAGATTCTGTTGGAAACAGGCAGGAGAACATGGGCAGCAGTGAAGGAGATGAGTTTTAATTATTTTTCTCCTGCCAGAGTTTACTGACCAGGACCAAGGTTCAGTTAAAGACATTTCTTCACTGTGGAATGGCCACATCAGAAGGAGAACTTTCTTCCACGAATGTAAGCACCAGAGCTGAAGCACATTACCTGGAATAAATTAACACTGAAGTCCCTGACACGGTATGTTCACTGTTCACTTGTAGTTAAGAACACTGTGGGTCAATTTCACACTTGTCCTGTCATTGTAAAATTACCAATATCCTGTGAAAGCTCTTGACCATTTCTCTCATGACACATGAATGAAGCATGATGCTGAAACTGTTTCTGAGAATCATAGACTGGGCGTTTTGTAGTCTAAACTGCCCTTTGGAAAGCCCCTACTCTAACTGTAACGCTGCGCATTGTAGAAAGAGTGAAGAACCCAATGTGGAGCTGTAGAGCTGAGTGAGGAGAGATTTTGAGTTATCCAAAACATTAGGCGGAGACGTAGTTCCGGGTTTGATACCAAAGAGAATCCAGGAGGAGACTCCAAAACGCTAGACAAGATCGAGGTCAAAAGGTAAGATCCGGTTTCAAGTATCCAGAAAGGCAAGAGCAAGTTAATAATGCGAGGCAAGGAGTTCCGAAGAAGCTAACAATACCAAGCAGCGTTCAGTGAAACGGAGAAGACTTAAGTAAGTTTGGTAGTGGGGGGTGTTTTAACAAGTGAGACACTCTGATTGGATGAAGGGATAGATCGGTTGCGTTTGCAGAGATTTCAGAAAGTTGATACAGTTGGTGCTTGATTGGGACGAGACTGTTTATGAGGAGGATTCCGATTAGCAGCGGACGTGACACTGACATTAACTGGCATAACTGGTATAATCCATTCAATTTTAAAGGAAACCATTTAAAGAGAACAAACAGATGAGCTTAAATTGCAGAGATCATTTTTTAACAAAAGATTTTATTCTTAATTATCAGGACACTTTGAAATCATCCTTCACAAGTGTTGACTAATGGAAGTCCATGATGCGCCGGAAGGAGCCGATCCTGGGGCTCATGCCTCCCCAGTCGCTGAACCTCCTGTACTCTCCGGGCCTCATGAAGTACTGCCTGCCTCTGTAGTTGGGCTGCTCGTAGAACATCCAGTATCCCTCCATCACATTGCAGGAGTGGATGTCATGGTAACGGAAGCGGTCGTAGACATTGGGACAGTCGTCCATGAACTCCATCATCTGGCCTCCGAAGCCTTCTCTCTCGTAGATCCTCATCCTGTAGGAGCCTTGGTACTGTGAACACAAGACATTCCTTAACACGGACTAACCTGGGTCTTGACGTTGTACTGTAAGTTCTCAAAATCACATTGCTTTACTAAGTGTAGACTATACTTCAATTGGATCAATATCATTTCTAAGCTTTGAAAAAAACAGACTGGAGATAACCTTCAAGAATTTGTTCATAAACTTGCTGACAAGCTTCTTTGTCTGTCAGAGCCATTTATCTTCATTATTAGACAACATTTTGTTGTGATTCTAGACACGCTAAGTTGAAGACTCTTGGTTATATGGTCTTATTTGAAGTATATAGATATACTTATATTTCTAAGTCCAGCAATAATGGTTTAATGGTTGTAAATTTCCACAGTAACTTACATGGGGGATCATCCTGCAGGACCTGATGGAGTCGTTGAAGCCCATCCAGCGCTGGTAGTCGGGATACTCGCCCCTGCGCAGGAAGTACTGGTAGCCCATGTAGTTGGGGCGCTCGTACGCCATCCAGCAGCCGCTCTCCACTCGGATGGAGTTGCAGCGGCTGAAGTAGGAGTGCATGTCAGCGCAGTCGCTGCTGCACTCATAGGAGCGCCCCCCGAAGTTCCTGTCCTCGTAGAAGATGATCTGCAAAAGGACAAAACATCAGTGTTACTCTACTGCGCTTTTCCATCCACTGTACATCTCTGAAACTACAATCTGTAAACACAGAGGCTCTGTACCTTCCCCATGGTTGTGGTTGGTGAGCAGATGCTGTCTGTGATCTACACTCCTGCTCCTATTTATACCCAGCAGAAGGGCACGTGAATGCTGTCCACTTCTGCTTGGTCAGCCGCACTATTGCATTGCTTTAACTCAAACTGGCCTACAATTGCTTTCTGTACAGTGTGAAGTACCATTGTGAAGAATGCATGCTCAGTCAGCATACATACATTGTTGTTGTCTTTTTTTTAGCAGGCTCACTCTCTATTTTCTCTTTGTTTTATGAATACAATCCCTTGCCCAGAACACTCCAGATACTGTACATGCAGTTTATCCACTTCACGCAATCTGGAAAGAGTTTGTTACACATCTTTGTAAACCTGGAGTTTATCAATGCACATTTTCTTTATTTTTAAATATTACATGAGCACTTATAGTAATGTTTTTTAAATTAAAGACATCCGAAAGCAAAATGCAATTTAAAGATTCATAAAAATTGTCTTGATACAGTGCTAAACCCACAAGAAACAGGCAATTGTTTCTTTGCCTTGAGAGCCATCTGAGCAGATGTATTGGAGTCTGGTACTTAAAGAGATAAATCACAACTGACGGTTTTAGTGAAACATAATCATTTCATTTGTGTTCTTCAATGAAGAAAATGACTTGATCATTTGGTAACTTCATAGTTGAAAGGAGTTCAGTAAATTCTAACAAATAAACAATAAATTGGCTTGTTACTCATCTGAGTGAAATGAAATGTGTTTGACTATCTTTATTGCTTTGTCCATAGCCCAGACAAAGGAGTTTTTTAAGCTGAAGTATAAAAACTCCCAAAACAAGCCAGTACAATCTTTAGTGGTACTTTTAACATTATAATACAGCAGCTTTCTATGATTTTTCACACTCTAAAATATGACCTCTTTCAAGTCTGGCGGCACAAAATCCACATTTCACCCTGGGACATTCCTGAAGTGGTGATACAGGGTAGATACCTACAGTATGATCAATATTGATGAACCCCTTGAGTCACATGTTTCACTCCGATTTCATGAGCGCTCTCTTTTGGAAAAGGAACTGATTGCTGACATGTGGTTTGGTACTGTCTACATTGTTTCAAATCCAGTGGTAGAGTGAAGCGATAAAACCCCACATGTGTTTACTGTATGTCCTGGGCTTGTCATGACACTGTAGGTTATTATTATAAAAGAAAGTTATTCAATGATGTTATGTGAGACCTGATAATGTCTTTTTCCTGAGCCCTTGAATCATGAATTGTTTAACACTCCATCCTTTTGAAAATATTTTGTACACCTTTAGTTCACACTGCAGAAGCTTCAAATCTCAGAAATCATATTTTGCTCCGTGGATCAGAAACTCTTGAGAGTATTAGGCTGTGACATAATTGCAGTCCTATTAGCTGATGCTTGCTTAAAGCTAATATAAGACTATATTCAATTAAAGATGTTTAATTTAATTAAAGTTGGCGTCATAGTCAGAGGACTTATTTGGATTTGGAGTTGGTTAATTTATAAAAAAAGAGAAAAAAATACATATTTGAGAAGACAGCTCAAACCTGGATATCTTGAGTGTAGTAACACAGGGACCTGTATTAGGACCAAATTAAAAATCTGTGATCTAGGTGTATTTAGTAAATTCAGTTTCACAGATGATACCAAAAACACTGTAAATGTAAATGTACTGTAGCAGAGGAAATTCCAAAATAAATTCAGACAATGCTCAATAGCAGGGAGTCACCTGGAAGAAGACCATAAATGTAGATATGTGCATAGTATAAATGCTGGCATCACATATGATTTTGCAGTACAGTGACAGACAGAAGGAAGCACTGTATGACGCTGAAGAACTGAGGTTAACATTGAATTTATATGAGACAATTAGTGAAAACAGTAATATAAAAGGATTGTTGGAGAATCCATAGTCAGTCTTTGCTGAAGCCAACCAACTGGCCAATCAGCTGGAAACATGACAAATATGGGGAAATGGTGGAAACACAAGGCAGAACATGGTCAGTGGGAATGGATGTTGAATTTTTACTCATCATCTTCTGCCAGACTGTACTGAACAAGACCAAGGTTCAGATTTCTCTTTAGTGTGCAGTGAATTCATCAGAAGGAGGGCTTTCTTCCACCATTGTGAGCACCAGAGCTGAGGGACCTAATCCGGAAGCAGATCAACACTGAGGTCCCTGACAAAGTGTGTTCACTGCTCACTTGTAGTTAAGAACACTGTAGATCAATTTCACATTTGTCCTGTCCCTGTAAAATCACCAATATCCTGTGGAAGCTCTTGGCCATTTCTTTCACAACACATGAATGGGAATAAGATTCTGAAACATTCCTAAAAGTTTTGGCCTGGGCTCTTTGTATTATACAGTATGCTGCATGCAATTTGTAGCACTTAATTGGCATCATAACGGTGTACTATTTTGCTACACACGTGCTTCTACAATGTAAGACAAAACCCTATGTGTGATCTGAAACTACTTAAGACTT